TTTTTTTTTTGGTTTTTTGAGACAGGGTCTCACTATGTAGTTGAGACTGCCCTGGAATTCACTGTGCAGTCCAGGCTGGTCTCGAATTCACAGTAATCCTCCCAGGCAGGAGAATCTTAAAAACAGAAATTATAAATTCTGGCTAGTTGACAAATTTACCTTTTGTCTTCAATTTAAAATAATGTTTGATTGATGTTTGGTTTCCAGATGTTTAATTGATGTATTTAAGACATTTCATATTACATTGCAAATTCTTAAATTGTAATATAGGATTAACTTGACCTCTTTCTGCTTACTGATTTCTGACAATAACTATAACACAAGATTATGTTACTGTTATAAAGCACCTTTACTTCTGATTTAATTGAAAGAGATCTCTGTTAATTAACCTACCAAAGTTTTGACTAGTCTTAATTAAAAGAGATGTTATAATTCAATTGGCCAAATATATTTGAGTGCACACTAGCTTAATAAATTGTCTTATATGTTTGTCTGTGTCTATCCAATTGTTTGTGTTTGTCCAATTGTATTTTTGATAAATTTTATTAAAGACATTCCTTCCTTTATTTCCAGGTTGCTAGTTGATCAAAATGACCTCAAAGATTAATTTTGATTGTACTATGTATTGCTGTCTACATTCAATAACTCAAAAAGTATATATACATATATATATATAGGTTACAAATAAATTGTTAATTGCTACAACCTGGTTTTACAGGTTAAATAAAAAATTGTTATGATAATTAAGATATACCCCCAATAATCATTGCTAAATACGTTGTTATGAAATGTTTATTTTGGTTATCATCAAAGGCTTGAGTTCTAAATATGTTATTGTGATATGTTTGTATTGGTCATCTTCAAAATATAATATTTTCTGTGGAAAAATAAGGTGTTATTTTAAAAAGTTCCTTTTGATTCCAACCTACATTACAGGACACAAGGTTTCATATAATTGTAATAATTATTATTACTACTTTTCTGGTGTATTCATGTTTTCTGACTACACAGGTCTTTCAACATATTGTTAATAGCAATAACATTTCGATCCAGTTATTCACCCTTCTCTTCTGCTCCACCTACTCATGATTACAAGTACATTTGTAGACCCATACAATTTCCTTAGATGGTAGCCTATCAAATGGTAATAACTTAAGTAAGAGTTTCCTGATCTTTTGTTTTTATGTTTTATTAGAGGGCTATAGATATATTTAATAATGGCTATTTTATACTGAGATACATATCTAAGTTTGTTGCAAAGATGTCATCATCATGATTGTCATACAAAAATATTATTATTATTATTATTGTGTGGCACCTGATTCCAAGTTTTTTCTGTTAATACTCTAGAGGAAATCAACAACTAGAACAACCATGATTGATAAAATAACAGTCCTCTAGCTATATTTTAGATTCCAGTGTGATTGCTATCCAGATGAAGTTACGATAGTCAACCTCACTGTTCCTCCTGTACTACTGATGTCACTGACCTTCTCTTCTGGGTGTTCAACCCACAAAGGGCAGAGACCAACACTAAAAGGTAACTGGGCTAAGAAGACCACCAATATTTTAGCCTTGGCCCTCCAAGGTCATCAAAAATCCAAGGTATGAAGGAAACTTTTCTACAACACCTTACATCTTTGGCAAGTCACCCAATCTCCTGAGCAGGGAGATTGCTGGACATCAGAGGACAAATGTAACATGTGCTAAAGGAGAGTCACCAAGGGAGAAAGTCTCCCATGCTTTCACTGAAAGCAACGTGGTCAAGCAAGGCTCATGACCCACCTTAATGGCTGACACTGACACTAGAGCTGAGAGGCTCTATGTATGGTTCTATAATAATGCCTAAAGAGACTTAGCTTACCTTGATAGATAGCAAGATGTTCATATTGATTAACACAGGTCTCATTTTAACTTGGTCTTAAACAGTCAGCAGGAAAGAATAACCAAAAGAGGCAGTCAAAGAACAGACATTTTAACTGGCTTAAACAGTCAGCAGGAAAGAATAACCAAAAGAGGCAGTCAAAGAACAGGCACTAGCAATAGAGAGACTTTTGAGGCCCACCACTCCACCTCCCTAAAAACAAATAGATCTCCATATGGTAAACCCGATAACTCAATATTAAAAAGGGCTACAACTCCTATTTAATACCACCCTCCACTATCTCCCTGTCAATATCTCAGACTGTTGGATGTGTATGTCCTTTTACCCCAACTCACTCACTCCAATTCCCATCCCCCTAGATTTTAACCTGTCTGTTTCAAATACTGGAAATTTATCCATAGTTCTGGGATCTATCACTACAGGTCTCCCATTCCCTACAAACCACTAACCTGACATGCATGGGGCAAAATGGCAACCTCACTTGCCTTGCTTGCTCCCTCTTTATCTCAGAAGAGCACCCCATCTGCTTATTCAACAGTCTAGATGTCATATGCAGCCAGGAGGCATTCTGATACCCCAACCGATCGGAAATTTTCTGTTACATGGTATTCCTCAGCCCTCCCTTGACCATCTATACAGAATCCCAGATGTTCGAAGGGATCCTCCCATGGTCAAAGGTCAACAAGAGTGCAGCCCCCCTCGTGGTCCCCTTCTTGATGGAAGCAGAGGTCTTCACTGGCATGGCAATGGGTATAGCAGGTATCTGTACCTCTACACATTTCTATTAGGCATTGTCAATAGAGATCTCAGAAGACATAGACAAAATAAGCCAATCCCTAAACACAGTCCAAGACCAGATTAATTCCCTAGTGGCTGTCATGCTTCAAAAAAAGACATGCCCTCAACAAACTAACAGCAGCCCAAAGGGAAAGGTGCCAGGCTCTAGCTGAATAGTGTTGTTATTTTGTTAACCAATCAGGCATAGTCAAGGCAAAAGTTAAAGAATTACAACAATGCATTGAAAACTTTAAGAAACAATGGGATACATGAGGAGTGACCCAAGGCTAATCCTGGCTCCAACAGATTATGCTACGGCTACTTCCCTTATTGGGCATCCTGACCTGGCCATGGTGGGCCTATATCTGTTCTGCTGTTTTCAAAATTTCTTACAGGAACACATGAGGGCATTTGCTAACCAGACAGTCACTGAACTTGTCATGGGAGGGTACCACCTGCTGTGACAGAAAGAGGAAGACCCTGTCTATCGCTGCCCCCATCAGATCCAGGTTTAGCCCTAGTCTTCACTCCTTTGTCAGCTTGAGGCAGCTCCAAAAGAAGAGACCTTTGCCCAATAACCATAAAGCAAAAGCCTGGAACATTAGATTTCCCTCCCCTTAACATGGTCACTGCATAAAAAGAATAGCCTTCCCCTTCCCATAATGCCCTGTTTCTCACCTAAAAATATGGCTTCTCCCTACCTCCTGGTGACTAGTGATGACACAAGCCCCTCCTAGAGATGCCACAAGCTCCCCCAATCCCTAGCCACTACATTACTCAATCCCACCCACCTTCTATAAGCCCCACCTCAGTCCTATAAAAAGTGCTCCCTGTCTCAGCCATATTGCTTTCTCTCCTTTGATTGGAGATGGCCTGGCAGATCAACCCTGCAATAAAGGCTTGTAGTGGTTAAAATAAATATAAAAATTAAAAAAAAACCCAAACCAAACTAAATGTAATTACTCTACTTAAAATTTTTCTATTAAGCCTTTAAACTTTTAGAGAACTCTAACCACTTTCTGTTTTGGATTATAGTAATTTATTTATATAGATTGTGTGTCCCTTCCATTAGGCTGTCAACTAGAGTGGTGCCAAGGTAGAGTGGAGCCATGGTTACATCACTGTTTACACATGTGATATCTTCTGACATGATGATTTGCATGTAGGTGGTACAGTGATGGTTTTTTAAATATCTATATTATTACTAAAAATTTTTAAATTCGCAGTACCAATGTATTACATTATAATTTAACAGCGCCCATATTTTGTCAAATAATGCAGCAATACTGATGTATTCACTTGACTTTTAACATCTTTCAAATTGGAAGCCATATTATAATCATTGCCAAATCATGGTTATACTGGCAGCATTATTTTCTATCCTCATGGTGCCTAAGTTAATGGTAAATGCTATAATAGATGGCATCAAATATTTAGTGTAATGTGATATTTAATACTATATTGTGGTTCATCTTTGGAAAATACTATGCAAAAATTTTATTTGAAAAAGTGTATTAAGCTTGTACCTACTCTATACAAATTATACAAAGAAGAGCAATACATCATCAATTTATCCAAGAATCTTCTAACATGAAACTAAAGAGATGGAAGGATATTATGGGCTCCATGTATTATGATGATTATGTATAAATTAACAGTAACAATCATAACATATAATGCTTCAAGGAAATTCTGAATTTTCCCAGAATGATTTTCTGAAAGATAAATGCTTTAAAAAGGAAATATTTTGGGTACACTGCCGGTGCTTTGGAAACATATATTTCCACAGATGAAAATGAGCTGAGCCTGACTAATTTGCTTATGGGTCAAGCTGGCACTGACACTGCACTGGCTTTCACATGATGAGGATCTGATTTCTTGCACAGCTGTGCAGCACTAACCATTGTGGGGTTTTGGGAGAGCACCACTCCCAATGTGATTGAGCTGCTAAAAAAGGCTTCATTAAAAAGTAGGGCCATGAGAGAACACAAAAATTAGACAGGACAGTTTTCATTAAAACAGAGTAATAAAGAATATAGATATGTGCAAAAGACAACAAAGTAACCCATATTGTGGATTTGGGGGTGGCAAGGTGGATATGGCATCTAAAGTCAGGTTACTAGAGACATTGGAAATAGGCCCAGAAAACTGTGCAAAGGACAGGATGAGAGTGATATATTAGAAAATATCACCTGCTAGTAGCAAGTTGAAAAAATTGAGTCAGATGCAAAAAGACTTACAAAGAGTTGCCATTTGGGTACAGTGGAAAGAGGGGGAAAAGCCCAGTGTATGGTGGTGGTGACGGGAATCCAGAAGAAAGGGCAAACTTAGAAAATGTAGATACTGTTTGCAGTGTTGGGGATAAAACCCAGAGACTCACACACACTAGCAAGCACTTCACCACTGAGCTGCACCACAGCCCTGGAAAAACATTTTCTCCTGATTTTTTTGATGTTTTAGTTAGTATTAATTTCTACGGCTTCTGGTTACTCCTAGCATTTTGGTTCATGCATTTACTATTATATATATTGTCTTGGAAAAGGTATGTTGCCTTTCAAGTTGTTTCCTCGTGCATAATATAATGATAATAGTATATTTTTCAGTAAGTAGTTAGGATGAAGTGAAAGAACACATTAGAGTATTGAGCATAGTGGCTGCCACTATGCACCTTTTCAGTGTTAGCTATGATTCTTTATTGATCACTATTGTCATCGTCATCATCATCATCATCATCGTCATTTGTTCAGCTGTTTTTCTCCACTGTAATGAAAGTTCCTTGAATCCAGTGAACACATCTCATTATTTCCTCAAAAAGATACAAAATATGACTTCTACAAATACATACTGAATTTTCAGGATTGAAAAAAACAAAGCCAGATCTCCTTAAAAGAAAAGCATTATGTGACAAAAGAAAAGAATTATTATAGTGATTTTGGGGGCTGGCTGACTGATGGCAAGAAGGGTGGCTCCGTACACAGGGCGCTGGTAGGATGGCCGTGGGCAGGATTTGGCACATCATCAGATCCTGGGTCAGCATTTAATCAGAATGATGGAAGAGAAGATGACAACAGAAGTGTGGTAGCAGAACAAATGTCCGACCGCTTTCCATTTTAGAAAGGCATAAAGCCACAGGGAGAGCAAGAAAGAAGGAAACAGCAAAAAGCCCACGGATGACGTGAAGTAACTGAGCTAGGAAACTGTCAATTTGGTAAATGAAGAATTAGCCAATGTTAGTTAGTGGAAACCTTAAATGCCTGAGAAAAGTAAGAGTAAAGAGGGGAGAACTTCTGGGTGTGGTGGCACACTTGGGAAAATGAAGCAGGAAGATCACCATGAGTTCTAGTCCAGCCTGGGCTACCTGGTAAATTCAAGGTCATCCTGAATCACATAATGAGATAGCGAGACCCTGTCTTAAAGAAAGAAAATTTAGAAAATGTGTAAGAAGTTGGGCTTCTAAATCCCTTTCTGCACTTATGGCCTCAGATGGTTTCTACTCTCCATCTCAGCTGAACAATATAGGTTTTGTGCCTCAAGATGATAAAGTAGGGTTTCTGGACCCAAAACACAGGAGTTGACTCAGAGTAGATGGTGGGGGTTCCATCCCACAACTGAGGGGACTGAGTGAAAGGGATGCTAAGCTGGGGCCTTTAGCTTGCCCCTTCTGGGAACAGGAACAGCCACCCTCAAGTTGTCCTCAAGATGTCTGAGCAAAGTCTCTAATACAAAGACAGAGTGTGAAACCAACAAAAGCAAAACAACTAACAATGATATCCTCAAGTCATTTGCATCTGAAAAGCATTGAAAGCTATTTTTTTTAAAGTCAGGAAACAACTGAAAAGTCCTTCAGAGATTAAAACATCAAAAATGCATATCTCAATAGAGAATCTGGAAGAAAAAGCTGAAGGATCTTTTTTATTTTTTCAGCTTTAATTGAGTTTATTGGTACATTTTAGGGATACAATACAGTTACATTTATTGTTGGGATCTTGTACCTCTACATGACAAATCTTGATTCTCATTTTTTCCCCTTACCTCTGCCCTCCCTTCACCCCCTCCTCCCCTCCCCATCTACAAACACTTTATTTTCATCTTTTCATTCTCTCACATTTTTTCTTTTCCCTTTTTACTCTTCCCCTACCCATCCCACCTTCCCTACACCTTTACCTCCTTTCTTCCCATTTCTAAATGTCAGTAATCTTATTATAATCTTATGCATTGTTGCAGATTATTCACACCAGGGAAACTATTCGGTATTTACACGTGTGACTTATTTATTTCACTTAGGAGTATATCTTCAATATGTCTTTTTAACAAAAGACATAAAGACATAGAAAACAATAGAAAGATTAGGAGTTTTAGAAAGACAACACATGAAATGAAGGAAGGATTCATTAATAAAATAATTGGAGGAAATTTCACATAATTGAAGGACCTGAGTGAAAAGACAGTACAACCCAAGTCAATAAATAGAAACAGACACAGCTCAATAGATAAAAGTGGAACCAACACCAATATGTCATTGGGATCTTTCAGAACTAGGAGCAAAGTGAAGATTCTACAGATTTTCAGGAAGCAAAAGAGATCAAATATAAAGATCTGGGATCGGAATGGTTTTAAATTCATTAAACACACACACATACATTTTAAACCTGGCCACACTACCAATTATGTTTGATGGCTATGACCTCACTAGGTGACAGGAATTTCCCAGCTCTATTATAATCTCATAGTAGATTGTAATAGATGTAGATTATTATGTAGGTTATAATACATATACATTATGATTTTATAAATAGATTTTATAATATGATCACTACCATATAGGTGATGCTTTGCTGAACAGAACAATATATTATGTGGCACTAAGTAGAAAGGACAGCTCATTTAGATTGGAGGAAGCAAAAAGGCTCTGGAAAATCTTTGGTGAATTTTTCTTTTTTTTTGGCACCAGAGATCGAACTTGGTTTCTTGCACTGGCAAAGTAGGGGGTAGCACCACTGAGCTAAATCCCTGGCCCCTCTGAAAACATGAAATTGTGCTGGGGTATAGTTCAGTGGCAGAGCACATGCGTGGCATGCAAAAGGCCCTGGATTTGATTTGATCCCCAGAGACAAGACAGACACAGAGACAGAGACAGAGATACAGAGAAAGGAAGTCTAAAGTGTCTCAAAGATTTATGTAATAAGGAAGGAGTTGGGGTTGAATCAGTGGTAATTATGTAAAACACTTAGTAAATGCAAATTGAGTCACTTGTTACCCCAGAAAAAAATTGTATAGGAAAGGACATATAATTAGGTTTTACTACATCTCCTCTATTTGTGAAAAATATTTACATAGTTATGATAAATATTCCCCTAAATCAAATTAGCAGATGGCAGTTTAGGGGGATGGGACCATTCCTTAGGGGTGGGGCAGGAGATGGCAGCTGAAGCATCTTCTATCATAGTGGAACATAATGCCTAAAATTGGAAAAAAAAATCTATCAAGAAATGTATTGAAGGCTCTTTCCCAGCTCGTAAGAACTTGCAGCCCAGTTGACACAATGTTTCATGGAACAATCATAGAAGAACTAACCAATCACGAAGAGTGGATTCACTATAATGAAAATATAATAGAAGATGAAAAAGATTTTGTTTTTATAAAGTTCAATGAACTTCATTTATAATCTATGGAAATTTTGCAATCTTGCATCTCTCTTAGAGTATGCATTTTCTCAAATAACTTTATTACAGATATACATCCATTTCAAACGTATAAAATTAATCAAACTTGATCTCCATGGAAATCAGATAAAAAGTCTACCAGATACCAAATTTTGGAGTGGATTAAAGAATCTAAAACTCCTCTATCTTCATGACAATGGGTTTGCAAAGTTGAAAAGTTTATGTGCATTATCTGCCTGTCCAGCCCTCATTGGTCTCACCACGTTTGGTTGTCCAGTAAACCTTAGAAAAGGAAACACACATGTTCTTGTGGACAGTATTTCAACTCTCAAAGCTCTGGATCATCATGCGATTTCTGATGAAGAAAAGATTCAAAACTGGCATCTTCTTGAAAGATTCAAAACATGTAATGGCCAACTTTTCTTTAACTTCTGCCCTGCTTTGAGAAAGTTAATTGGCTTCATTATTTCATTTTAAGTTAATTTAGAAAAGTAAAATTTTACCTTCTTAATTATAAACCTATATTACATAATTATTTCATAGCTTTGACTCATTTGTAAAAAGTATCATGGATCACTGGATATATTATGATAATTTATATCTAAAATTTTTAAAGGCTTCTGTACCTGTTACATTAAAATGTAGACCTTAAAATCATTACAATTAAAAAAATTGAAAGCAAATCTTTAATTTACTTAGATTTTTATATAAATAATTCCACTGAAAAATATTTGATATTTTTGGAATGTCATAAGGAGCAACTTATACTGTTGTTGGAAAAAGATCAAATATTCAGTCTTTTTTTCCCACAGTGTGGTGGCATTGTAGTGATAAATTCATCATATGTTGATTTACAAAGCATTGGGATAAATAATTGAGGCATCACAGAATACTTTTTTTTAAAAGGTTAGAGAATACTGGACTAGTGAAAATAAGACAAACATTCTTTATAGCATATGAATGTTAGAACAAATAAGAATTCAAAGATTAATTCTGCAAGTATTAGTAGAAAATTAGCTACAAGGTATAGTAAGAAAACAAGGATATAATAGGGCAGTGTTTTTATGTAATCTATAAATATGTTTTCAGACATGTATTGCAAGATCATTTCATGCTTATCAAAACATTATACAGTGTACTAAACCAAAGTTAGGAAGCCATAACTAGGTGATAAAATCTAAGGTACCACCATGTATATGCATATCAACCAAAATGTCATTCTTTGGAACAAGACTATATAAAATCTTGAAGAATAGAAAATTACTATGAGTAGTGATACAACTGAAAGGGTATATGAACATGAACCCTGAGCACTAATTATGCATAAAGTGGTTTAGTTATAAGCTGTTCATAATACTGCATATGATTCTTTTAAAATTATGAGTATATTAATGATTTTGTAATATTAATTTTAAAACCTTTATGTTTTCATAATAATTCTATAAGTGGTTACAATTTTAAAGATAAGGCAGTATTTAAGTCTAGTTTCTTAAACCTGGACCTCAAGGAAGAATTTCATTTGGTTATTCCAGTTGTATGTTACAGTATAATTAAAGATGGTGATAGAGAAAACTTTAATAGAAAAAAGCCCCATGAAATGTCACAATGCAAAATAACTTCTGCCATTTGCTTTGTTTAGTTCAGAATCAACAGGCACCAGAGGCATCTAGTCCAGCTCAAAAGTTTTGTAAATAAAAACAACCATTGTTAACTCTGTTGACCAGACACGCCCCATTCCCTTGGGGTACAATAGATATAGATTAATTTTTTTTTTTTTTTTTGTACTGGGGATCAAACTCGGGACCTTGCACTTGTAAAGCAGGTGACAGAACCACTGAACTAAATCCCCGGCCCAATAACTAGATGAATTTTAAAGGTAACCTTCCCCTGGGCCAGGGATTTAGCTCAGTGTTTCCACTTTCTGCCTTGCAAGTGAAAGGGCTGGTACGAAAACAAAACAAAACATCAAGTAAAGGTAACCTCCCCTAATAAAGAAGTGCTACATCTGGTGTTTTGCCACCATGTTTTGAATATCAGCAATGTGAACTGTGAAAATGCAATGTAACCATCTGAATGAGATCAAGGCTGTAAAACCCTATAAAAGAAGGAGGTGTAGCCCAGTACTAGATCAACCCAGGCACGGCTTTATATGGGATCAATCTTTGTTGATAAATAAATCTTTTTTATTTTACTTCCATTTTGCTGCCTCTCTGTGTGTCCCTTACTGATTCCTTCCTTAACAGTGGGACCCTTTAAGGAAGGGTTGATGGACTGAGGTTCATTTAAGGAAATAAAAAGAAAAATGTTCGAGGAAGATAAATTGTTAGGAGGCAACTTGAATGACACATTGAGGAATATAGATTTTGAAAATGATGAATATCAATTGTTATGTGAGTAGGAAAATAGAATGGTCCTCTCATAGTATATCCTCTATAAATATTATCAAACCCAGTATTTTGCTGGTAGATGAGAGTATGCAGAGGAAATGAAGGTAGGGCGATCAATTACTCTAGATTAGAAATGATGTAACCAGAGTTTATAAAGGCAGATAGCAGTGTTAAACTAGTGATGAAGAAAATAGAAGACAGGCACTTATTCAGTAGGCATTTTAAATATTTCCTTTCTTCACTTCTTTGACAGGTATGAAATCTGTCAGGTAGTAAATGAGATAGATTCTTCTAGGACCTGAAGATTCACTAGTAGATGCTACTTAACAATTTTCCTACCTTTACTTATATTCAGTGGAAAATAATAGAAAATAATCATATAAGATGAAATAAACAAAAGCAAAACAACCATGGAATGTTGGATAATGTTATTTAGAAAAGAAAAGAAAGGATCAACATAGGATGAAAGGGGTGGAGATGTGGCATATTTTAGTTTAGATAGATGGAAAAGGGTTTTCTATTCATCATTTCCTTTGATGTGGAAGGATATTACTCTTATTTCACAAAGGATGAGGCATCCAGTACCATGAAGATGGCAATTCTGTTCTTGCAGAGACCTTCAACTACATTGCATCACAAATGACAGTGGAAAAATCTGCTAAGTTTTTTTCCCCACTATTTAGCTTTTATTAATGCATGTTTACAGAACAGAGAGATCACATTCTTTGTGAGAAGTTCATACATGTGCATAGTGCATCTCAATTCTTTTTTCACTCCCTTCTCCGCATCTCTTGATCCCCTTCCTATGTGAAATTGATGCAACATTTTTAAATGATTGAATGTACGAGAAGAATAAGAAATATACTTCCAATATTTGAACCTGGATAGTATTCATAGGATACAAAGAAGGGCATTGATGAAATTAAAAGTACAGATAAAAAAGTACATGTCAGCTAAGTCTGTCAAGTTTGTATTAGGAAAATAATTTCCCCCATGAATTTCTTAACTGACTCATATGGCTACCATTACACATGTGAGAATCCAGTATGAGTATTTTTAAGTGGATACATTAACTTCTCAAAAAACAAGCAAACTATATTCTATTAATAAGAAAGAAAGGATAAGTTTGTGTTGGTCCTGCAAAGCTATTTCCCAACTAGGTTGGAAACCAAAGTGGATGGATCACACGTTTGAAGTCATCCTGGGCAATTTAGCAAGACCCCATCATAAATAAATGAAGAGATAGATAGACAGACAGACAGACAAACAGACAGATCAATAGATAGATAGGGCTGAGGATGTAACTCAGTGATACAACATCCCTGAGATCAACCACTAGGCCTGCAAAAATTTTTTAAATGGAATAAAAAAGAAAATATGATAGATTCTGGGATGGCAGGTAACACTTTGTCAAAGAGTGAAAATGAAGTTGATAATGTAGTGCAGTAGTAGTAATTTAAGGTAGAGATTTCCAGTTCAAGCATTTGACATCCATTTGTTTTTACTTTATATGTAAATGTCAAAAAATACAAAAATGCATATATATATAT